AATTAATATCAGTCGATTCTATAGGTCATCTACTTTCGACACCTTTACTGTATAGCACTCCCAAATCAGTCCTGTGATTGGATTAATTCTTCTTAAGCTTCTTATTGTTTCTTTAAATAACTCGACGTTTTGAAAATTAATTTTCATGGCTTATCACTTTTTGACTTTGATAAATCTGTACTAAGCATCTTTGTTGAGCTTACTTACATTTCGAGTGGAAGTGTTGGGTGAAGAGATTTGATGGTCCTTCCACCAGAAGACGACGGCTGATTCCTCTTGACCAGCTGTCGATTGGCTTTACTGGAAGATTCATGCTGGCGCTGTTTCCGAGGCAATCTCTTTCGATTCCGGAGAAAAGGTGCTAAGCTTTCGTTTATCATATGACGGACATCATCAGAGCGAGATAACATCGTTACAACAAAATTCAAGCTAACGAGTCATGAAAACTCACCGGCAAATCCCTAAAAAGTGGTATATATACTCTACATCTGGCCTCTTTGATCAAGTATAAATTGATTTGATTAGTTAAAGTCATTTGTCAACTTCTATGCATGTGAGTGTGTCTGTCTCTGTATTTGTATGTGCATATTTGTGTTCACTTATACACGAAACCCAAAGTGATGGATCAAAGTGGAACAGCCCATCTAATCTCTTCACCCAACACTTCCACTCGATATTGAAGTAAGCTTAACAATTACGAAACAAGAGATTCCTCGAAACCCAACTTTTCTTCGTATATTCTAAGCATCTTCACTCTGTTTTCCAGAGATTATCATTGCAATAGGCCACTATTAGATTTCACTCTAGTATCATATCACTAAGTCCGCTGTCCCTAGTTATGCTCATTATACCTATCTCTAACCATCTACTGGTCTCTTCAAAGTTGTCACATGAGAAGAGGAAAAAAAGGAATAGTCTCCTATAACACCAGCTCCCCAGTCTGAGTTACCTATGTTATATTCTGTTTCCATATATGGCTAGCCTCAAGCACCCAGAGTCTGGAATGCAGCAACCAAAGTGGCCTCATCCGCGTAGAAAGTGACAGCGGTATCGGATTATTAGGCAGCAATAGTAGCAAATCTGCTAGCCCTACAGCGATTGCCACGGCATCTTTGCACCAGCGTGGCTACAGCAGCGAAACTGAGGCACGAGTAGGTGACAATGTCGAAACTGGCCGTGGGAGCAACATCGAGAATTGGGCGATGACTGTACCACTTCCACCTCCCAATCTACTTCCTCAACCCGTTATTATTCCTGTTGACTCTTCTTGCAGACAAGATTCCGCATTTTCCTCCGGAGTAAATTGCAGCATAGAGACACCACCCAGCTGGATTCTGGTCAATATGGAGGCCAGGCGGGAACTGCAATCCCAAAATCTATGTATCACACATGCCCCTTCCGATAAGATGCAGCCTCATCCTTTTCCTACAGCTGAACTTTCAACCGGTATTTTCTGCATTTTTTAATGATCCTTTAAATATCTCAATTCTTAAATCAAAGATTTTCATATGATATCTTTAAATGTCGAATTTTTATTATCTTTTTAAATGTAAACTTTCTTATTTTTCAGCCAAAAAAATCAAGATCAAGCCTTATTGGCGTTAATTTGCGTTTAGATACAGTCTATAATTCTCAAAATAGCCTTGCCATAATATAATTGGTTTATTTTTATTCATCCATCTGTGGCCATTCTAATATTCGTAAATGTCATGCTTA